AAAATGTTGTTTGCAACAGAGTCCTGAAGCTTGACTGCATTGGGCATATCCAAAAACGAATGGGGAGGAGCTTGCTAACATGGAAGCAGCAGCATGGTGCTACACCTTGGAAAAAAACTGATAAAAGTTTGCAGAAGGCAACAAAAAAGCCCAGTCAAAAAAGGCAACAAGAATTTATTTGTAAAGAATGTAAAAGGAACCACACATTAACAAATGAAGTCATAAAGAAGCTGCAACAGTACTATGGAAAAGCTTTACGAAGAAACTGCATTCCATATGGGTCATCAGTTGCTGAAAAGGAGAAGGCTTTGGCAAAGATGCAGCAATCTGTCCTTGCTGTTCTCTACCACAGTCTTCTTTTAGAAGATGATGTTCAGAGACATCAGTACTGCCCAGAGCAAACAGAGGTGTACAACTGGTGTGGTTATAAGAATGAAACCAGACTTACAGAACATCAACCACACCATTTGTGCCCTCAATACTTGCCATATTTGCTTCCCATTTTTGAGAAGCTCAGCAGCAAAGCCTTGCTCAAGAGATGTCTTTTTGGCTTCTCACAAAATGCCAATGAAAGTTTGAATGCTGTTGTTTGGAAAAGAGCTCCAAAAGAAAAAAACAACAGCCCAAGTGCAACACACCTTGCTGCAATATCAGCAGTAGTGCAGTTTAATGATGGAAATGTTGGAATACAAAGGTTTTATGAAGCTCTTGCCTTGCCTTTGACATCATTTCAGCATGAAAAGGCAAAACAAATAGACAAAGAGAGAGTGAAGAGGGCAGAATATAAAAGGAAAATCAAAACAAGACATAGACGCCAGAAGATTACGCAGAAGAAAACACGTACTGAGGCAATGCTGGAGATTTCAGAAGGCCCATCCTATGAGAGTGGATCATTTAATGACTGAAATTGATGACTTCATTTCTAATCATGGGTTTTTAGTTGTTTATTGCATTTTGATATGGTTTCATTGTACTATTTCAAAGTAGAGCTCTCATTCATCAACACAAAACTTCAATTGCGAATTGCCGCAAACCTCAATTTTTGGGGTAAAATGGGTAAAACTTTTTCATTTCTCATTAAATTTTTACCAAAATTGGTACAAACATACTTTAGAAGATTGTCTTTAAGCCTATGATTCAATTTTCCAATATTAATTAAGATCATGCAGTTATCAATGACAAAGTTGGGCAAAATTTCTGCCATTTTTAGACAGCCGCCATTTTTGATTAGCTTTAAAAAATTCAAAAACCCATCATACAATTGCTACCCATGTTGTGACATATATATATGCCAGTTTTCATCTTAATATAACCACAGTTAATTGAGTTTTAAGTTTTTAAAGTTGAACTTTCAAAATCGGCAGCTCGTTGAAAGGTCTATTGTTCATTTACACAATTGGGGTATTGTTACAGATATTGAATTTTTTTTACCAAAATATTAACATTTATTCTTTGAGCTCTCAGATGATACCATACAAGCCATAAAAAGAGTGTTTTAGTGAAGTTTCAGCAACTTTTTCCTGTAGCACCTTTACATCAAATATTAGGGGAAATGACCCCCTTAAGACTCATATAGGACAAGTTTTCTTTCTGTCCTTGAGGACCTAACACTCCAACGATTCGAAATTCGCGCCTCAAAATCGACTTCAGATTTTCCATACTTGACTTTTCAATGTTAAATCCTTCCGCGCTAACTCCCGTCTCATTCCTAGCGGTTTCTAGCCTTTGTCTGGCGGCCTCCAGCTCTTTTTCCTGCTGTATCTTTAGCGCAGCAATACTGGCCTCTTATTCCTTTATTCTATCTCAGTCCGCACCAGTTCCTACTTTCTTTTGTGGGGCAGCTTCCCCTCTGGCAATTACAATACAATCATTCAAAAACGGTTGTAAACCAGGGGGCGCTTAGAGCCCTCACAGTAGCATGGGAAGACACGATCATGCTGTCAGTGGCGTCGCCTGCTCGAAAAATAAGGGATGGACAAAAACAAATTTTCTCGGCCACGCCCTTCAGACTCGTGGAAATTCCATTTTTTAGTATTTTTACCTATTTTGAAATATATTTGGAAAAGCAACATTTTCAAGCAGCGTTTTTCGTAACGGTGGCTTTTTTTGCCAGTGCAAAAATTGAAATCGATCTGATCAGCCAAACTCCCCTCCCCCAAAGGTTTTTCAACGGATTTTGAGAAATTAGAAAATTGACTTCTGGGAAAGCTGGGGTGGACATGTCTTCTGATGGAAATCCTATGGCTAGAAACCCAAACCCTGCTCTTTGGCTAACTACACAGGACAATCAACAAGACCAGAGTGTTGTTCGAAGATCTTCACCAAGGAAAAGGGCATTTCAAACAACGATAGGTGGGGCAGCTTCAGGGACCGCGCACTAGTTTAAAAGAGCGTTACCGAAAAGATTTTTAAGCCACACCCCTAGAAAGCCGAAAAACGCCCCCTTTAGAAAATAATTGCTTTTTTCTACTGAAGTTTTATAAACTGTCTGGTTCAGAGAAGATTTCAATAGCTAAA